AAATGGAATGAAACCTGGCCAGAGTGAGGTCTTTGATTCAGCACAGCAATCCGCACAACTCAGAATGTTTCAGAGATTGGCATTCAGTAATCAAGACTACAACTCTAGTTTCTTTAATCAAACCCAGAGTAGTTGGGGAAGTCAAGAACGTGTGAGTCAAGGTAGCTAAAGGAGTCGAGAATATGTTAGCTGGAGAAACTGGAGCCAAGAGCATAGGGAGATACTTTAATGCCATGGATGCATCTCGGTTGTGCACATTCAGACTTGGTTCTGTGCATGCTCAGACTTCGGAGGCACATTGGTCGGAAGGGAGATAGCAATTCACCTTCGATTCTGGAATGAGCTTCAACATTTGGAGAGGATGGAATCAGGTCTTGACGCTCATTTCATTTTCGTGTAAAATCTTGTTGCCTTGGCTTCTTGCCTTGGCTTACATGATTGTTTGAAATGAGGGAATTTTTTTTTTTTCAAAAAAAAAAAAAAAACATGATTTCCCCCGTAATTTTTTCGCATCTATTCATGTTGATTTAACAAATAAGTTTCTTAACAGTATTATAAGTCATGAAAATATCTCCCCCATGGTAGAATAATCATCTACGGGATCCAATTATAGAATACATGAAACATAATAAATCACACAATACCAACAAGAGCTTGAATTGGAGTTAAGGTTAAGGGTTGAATTATTTGTAATTGTTAAGCAATTAAATACTTGATCTATCAAGAAAAAAAAAAAGCATAGAATAAATGGGAAGAGAAAAAAAAGGAGATCAAATATCAAAAAAGAAAAGAAGAAGGAAACAACCATTTTTGGTGTTCAAAACACACAAACACCCAAACAACTAAATGGTTACATTTAAACTTCAACAAATAGTCATATCGAATATTTGCTTGCAACAAATATATGTACTATACACTAGTCCAAACACATCCCCAAATAGAAACAACATACTGAAAATTACTTAATAAGTAAGAACTGCAAATGAGATATCTCATTAATATCATGACAACAATACCAGTCTCACCTCCTTAGAGATCTGTATGTAGAATATTCCAATAGGATAAACAATACCAGTGGACTATGTAGTTGCAATCTGACTCTGTGCATTGAATGGCCAGCCGATCTCTACAAGGCTTATTACAGCTGTTGCATTTAGGAGGATTGAAGTCTATCTTCACTAAACTGACAGGATGTTGATGATGACCAGCATACCTGAATGGTTTACCGAGCTTGACATACGGAGATCCCCAAAGAACACAGTTAGGATGAGCAGAAACATCACAATCAGCACAATGATAAAACCAATGATTCGGGTCTCTGTCTTCTTCACATATGTCACAATAACATTGGCTTCGATGATGATCATCACGGGAAGTAAGCACGAGAGAATGGTTATCATCATATTTATACCGGGCTTTGTTAGGCAGCACAAGGCACCTATAATTTATGGCAAATTTGCATTTCTTGTCCTTGCATCTAAAACCACCCATAACTTTAAAACCACAACCACAACAAGTCCCCTCGTATTTGTGGTCAAAGAAAAGGGGGTGCTCATGTCTTTCAACAGTACAAGTGTCCGGAATTTCATAACACCGAATGCACATTATCCTGTTAAATTCATCACATTTGTAGCCAAACCCACTATTCCAAAACCAGCAATACTCACAGTGAAAAATGACATAGAAAAAGAGTTCCATTGAATGCTTGCTGGCCCAGTGGCGTACCTTCTTCAATAACTTAGCACAGCCCTCGTGGATAAAGAAATCACAGTCCTCACAATAATAAAATGAAGTAGCGATGGGACGCAAGCAGCCTTCACAACTTTGGCCATCCTTAA